TTTTGATTTTTCCATTTTTTATGATGAAGTGGCGAAATGACCAATGTCGGCCGTTGGTGTAACCACGTTGCTGTAACAAGTTGTCACATTCTGTAACAGTTTCCAGCGGAGACATTTTGTCATGTGATTCCACCTGGTTTATTATGGAAACGCCTGTTGAATACAAACGTCTGATATAAAGATATCCATTATTGTAGATTAAGCCCAATATACACAAATGGGGCAAAATCCTACTTGCTCCATCTGGTCCCATCTTGCCCCGAAGAATCCCAACTTGTCCCATTTAATCCCATGGAGTTCCATGGGACCCCAGCAACTTTACCCAATCGAGGGCCACGGAAATGATGTAATTAAATTGATCAAAAGTCTCACGATGCCCATAGCAAGAATGGACTTCAAAGGACTTCATAGGCCTTTAATCGGGCCCCACGTGGGAACTCATGGGACTCAAGGGGTAAAAGTCCGACGGAGTCCCGTGGAGTCCCACGGAATCCATGGGGCAAAGCCCACGAGGTCTCACGAAGTCCCACGCAATGTTAAGTCTATGTAGGTCCTAACTTGGCCCCATTGGTGTATGTTGGGCTTTAGGGAACTATATGTATTAAGAAAGAATAAAGTATATAAGCTGAAAGTCCTGCATACAAACCCAAACATGTTTATCAAACTAAAACAAGTCAAGGGTCACTTACACCCCAGTCACATTTCCTGCGGCCGCCGTGCGGTCTATCATTTCTGCGGCCAGTTGCTTTTCTACGCTCGCCGCAGAATTTCTGCGCTCTCATACTTTTGCAGTCACATTTCCCACGGCAGCCGCACGGTGAATTTTAAATTTCTGTTGATAAATAATACTTTTTTTCATTTATTTTCATCAGGACAATTTATAAATGTTATTCATAGTGCTAGGATGTAATATCAAATGAAAAGTGATCGTGAAACATTGACAAATAATGATTCAATCTTGTTGAGCCAGTTGATTTCTACGGGACCTCAGAAATGAACAAATATTATAACTCCGAGTTTTAATTTCTACGGCGACCCTGCGGCCTGTAAAAAGCTGGATACGCCGTACGGAGGCCGCAAGGCGAGCGTAGTTTTTCTACGCTCGCCGCAGAAATACACTGATTTAATTGATCTGCGGTCGACGCACGCCCTCCGTGCGACAAATGTGACTGGGGTGTTAGATACAGTAGTACAATAACGTCATTTCAAAGGGCAATATAGTGAAATATTGGTCCAAGGGCCGCAGGCCCAAGGTCCAATATTTCACTATTTTGCCCGCAGAAATGACGTTATTACTATTATTACCACCGTTAATGCCCAGGGTTGAAATAGCAAATTTGAAATAGAAAATCTTACGCACTGAACGATATCACTTTTCCCGGGAAACATAGCCGGGCGGATAATGTCATTATTGCCCGACTAAAGTCATTAACGCCCGACACAATATTGCTCACGTCAATATAGCAATTTAAATGCCTTCTCAACTAGTACTAAACCCCTAGAACAGGCCCTGCAAGGTGGTAATAATCTCTATATCTTCCAGGTTTGTATGTATGCCTAAGAACTCGATTTCGCTGAAAAGCAGCTTTGTTCATCACTAGATTACATAAACATACGAGAAGCAACCGCAATATCCTTTATCAACTTTTTTTGGATCGTATATGATTAATTGCTCACCAAGGGCAGAGTGCTATGATTTCTTATCAAAGTTAAAAGTCATGAGAAAAGTTTAGACTAAAACATTAAACATAAAGTGGTTTAGTGTTTTACTAGGTTAACCCTGATCTGCGTTATGTTAAGTTTGTAAATTGGTTTTAAGATATATTCTTTCGAAAAGCATTTGGGTTAATCGTTTGACTTCGCTTCTTAAAAGAGAGCTTCATCTTCGGTATAACTAGTTTAGATGCGCGCAGACCAGGGTAGGTGTCGAAATAGCCTGCATCTGATTGGTAACATAACCTTAATTTGAAGTACAGTTTACCACTCTATGCGGACGGAGCCTGTGGGAAATATTTGGTGCTGATGTAACGGTAAATTTGAAAATATTTTCCACAAAACAGAAAGTTGAATGGAAAAAGTGTATGTCGTAGTATTGATCAATAAATTATGTTTTGCCCAGAACACTGAATGACATTTACCCCCTATTCAATCTTAATCTATTTGAGATTGTACGTTACAACGGTCAACGGTACACTGCTGGGTTGAGTCTAACGAAGCATTTTTATAACGAAGGTTAGCGAAAAAATTGTGTCCACACTGGCTTTTTCCAACCCTAACGAAGCAATTATTTGGTATTACACTGCACTTAAAATGCTTCGTTGCGCGTGCGCATTACTCATCTGCCCCATCCACTTATTATGATTAATATTTTTATTCTTTTGATATAAACCATTGATCAAACTCAAAAATCTAATTTTTAATCTTTATTTTAACAAATCAGCACAGAAAAAGACTAGTTCAAAATTCTCGGGAAAATAAAACAAGATGAATGTGATCATTCGGTACACATGTCCATACATTTTTCCTATCATTTCGATTTTTATATGTTTCAGCTGTCAATACGATTACAAGTATAGTTTTCATTTTCTATCATTTCCTTGGGAAAACATATGGAATAAAAATAGGCCTATGTTAATTACTAGGAGGAATTGGATTTGGGGTTTATACAGACGACTAGTATGTATTATCGTATAAAAACGTTCAATTTCCAAATGGACTTCTCAGTTATATTCCAAATAGTGTAGCCATTACTAAAATATCTCGGTGTTCGGCTGATGGTTTAACTCACGCGGTTCTAACTTCGATCGTTAATTTGAATTTTCGACCTACCAGATGCTCGAAAATCAAGGATTATGAGTCTCATACTGCACCGTTTTTCTTCAAACCTATACCATTAAAATCAAAACAAAATTGCCTTTCTGTCGGTGCATTACTTTATTGTAAAGAGTCCCTCGTTCTAGCAGCGTTTTGGTCCCCAGCTGTTAGAAGGCCTTCTTACAGCTAGGGACCAAAATGCCGCTGGAAGTAGGGACTCTGTTTAAGAGAATAATGTACCATCAGAAAGGGATTTTTGTTATGCTTTGAATGGAACAATTTTGAAGAAAAACGTTGCAGTATGAGACTCATAATCCTTGATTTTCAAACATCCGGTTGGTCAAAAATTCAAATTAACGGTCGAAGTTAGGACCGCGTGTAACCACTATTTCATGACCAATTCATTTTAATATGAATATTACCCGTCTCGGCAATACATGCATATTTGAGTGAGTTTGACATAAATTAGTATGTTAATCCATCAGCCGTCCGTTGAATTCGAAAATGGCGCAAATAGGAAGAAACTTGAATATCAGTTGTAAGCATCGTCTTACGACATATCTGAATAGTGTTTGGGGCCGGCCTAAAACATGCAGCCTCTCTTTGGCAAGTATCTGTCGACAAGAAACAATTTTGGTCACTGTTCCTCGTCCGCAGGTTTTACCGTATTTGTATACGGAAGTTTTGAAACGTAATTAATTCAATATATTTAAACATGAAGTTTAAATTCAATTACAATTTAAAATTGTCGAAGAATAAAATAATGGAACGACTAGTACAAGTGCATGTATTGCAATGGGGCGATAGCCAGTTGAATACGATTTCTGAAGAGAGACATTTTCGAATCAATCAAATCGGCTATATTCCCTGATGTGATTCACCGGGAAGCAATTGTATCAGTATCATGGAATTAACACCTTTAGAATTACATTCAAGGTATAATTATTCGAGGCGCAAGAAAAAATTAATATTAAACATGTATGCCACAACTTTCTATTTAGTAAGCATATCTTATGTAATTTCAAAAGTTTACCCTTCCACACTTGAGACGGAGTTTTCCGAAAGAGGGACATTTAAATATTCTATTACAAGTACATGTATTGCAATGGGGCTGCCTTGCTTTGGTAAACTTTTTTTGGCTAGTGTTATAACGGCCTCGTGTATAACACCATACTTTCGCCTGTGTTCAGTAATAGTGCTATAACGTATACCGTTCAAATGATGGTAGACGGTGCATGAAGAAATCATTTTCAAATAACTTGTAATTAAACAGAAAAATTGAAATCAACCGTGCATGTAACATGCTATCAAATGAGGAGTCGTTGTTTCCAAATTTTAGGAGCTACAGGCTGGAATCTCTATCGACCATAATGCCTAGTCACATTTGTTCTACCGTACGACAGACGTAGTTTCCCAGAATCTGAGAAATATGCAGCATAAAATATAGGGATACGCACTAGCAGTACGATGTAGATTTTCTCTATCGATTTCTTAAAGCTACGGCCACCGTGCGACCGTCGACGAGCAAATGTGACCGGGGCTTTTACTTGTATTCTGATATTTATCACATCTTAATTCTCAACTATTACTTTGTTTTATTGCGGTGCATATTTCTAATCGTATATGTGTACGTGGTATGATTTATAGTCACCAGGGACAGCACTGGAATATTAAAGGGGGGAGGGGGTGCAACACTTTGGGTTAATTTTCTCAAAAAACTATGCCAATATTAAGTATTTTAATTGCCCAGTTTATGTGGGAAAAGCAGAAGAGGCTGTCTGTGTCTAGCTGCACGAATATACTGTGATGCAATTCCAAAATTCTACCATATATGGGCATCATTGCCATATCTAAAATTAAACAGTCGCCATTTCTCAACCTTTCACACTTCAGAATTTGAATCGTAAGTTTTTGTCTTGCATTAACAAAAAATAAATAAATAAAACATACAAGAAGTGATCAATTGATTAGTTAAAATCTTTTGTTTGCTGATTGTTAATTTAAAGCCAAATAAATGTTAACTTAATAAAAAACGACAGCTTTGTTGGAAAATATCGATGTTGCATTCTGGCTGCAAATCCTCTTTGCTGTACATTACTAGGGTGAGAGAAAAAAGATGGCAGTGAAGTCTAACTGTTTGTTTATTCCAAAAAAATAATACATAACGACACACTACTGTCATCTTTATATCGGTCTATAGCCTGTGCAAAAATGGATTCAGCTACAAAAGATATCGCTGTGTCTAATTGCAAACTTGTGTACCGAAGTCATCAGTTACAGGCCACCTAGACTTCCACCAAGTCCACTAACACGGTCATCAGTTCCACGGTTCTCACAACGCGAATGTCGTTTTTTTCCGAACAGGGGTGGTGTATTTCGAAATTTGAGACCCTTTCCGGGTCAGTTCATGTCGTTGGTTGCAATGTATTTTTTATGTGAATAGCAAACATATAAGCTTGCAATTTAGACAGCTCCTTGAATACAAAACGCATTGACTCGTACGAAAACATTATTTTTATTGCAGTGTACAAAGTCACCTCGCCTTGTTTTGGTTTACGATCATAGGGAGAATTTCTTCATCTCGCGATTCCCATTTATTCGAAACATTGCTGTTAGACTATGTTTTAAAAAGGTCAAAAAGTGTATATATTTGCTATTGTTTCCTCGTTTATGTTGATAATTTAGAGTTTTTCTAGCCTTTTTATTTCTTCTATTACTTCAGATGTATCCATAGTTGCCCATACTTCTTGTCTTGGGTAATTTAACCAATACTTTGTTACTAAGTCTTTTTGAGTGTGTCTCCCTGGACGTTCGAACCACCCATTTCGCCAAACAGTTTCTACATCTGTTGGTATTGGACCAAAGATGTCCACATATTTATCCCTCACAAACATCGTGTTGTACCAATCAGCATCGATAAGGGTGTAGCCATATGGTTCAAGTAAGTCATACCAGGCACGCAACGAAGCCCCGTATAATATTTGCTTTTCCTTTGGCCTTTTTGAGAGAAATGTCCACTTGAAACCATCAGTATAGTTCATGTGATAATGGATACCTGGGGGGTATACAGGATTATATTCCATACTAAAGATGTCAGCACGAACTCCAGCCTCCAGAAATGCCTTCAAAACATCCCAATCATAAGAATCTATATCAATCTTTAACACGCCTACATTCTTTGGAATGTTAAACATTTTACAAATATCCTTTACATTTTTAGGAGTGATAATTTTAGATGTCATGTTAAGCTTTTTACTAATTTTGTCTTTCTTTATGCGACCATCCGACTTAAATCCTTTCCAACCCGCTTCCAATAATTCGCTTACATCTGATCGCCCTTGGGCTCCTAAATCGACGCCATATTCCGCAACAGACGATGGGTATCCTTTGTCAATGAACCTCACCAGATTAATAGTAGATATATGGTTCGTTTGACTCTGCGGATGGTCATCAAAGTCATGTGATATTTGACCAATCAATTCACCGGGATGCTTTATCATTTTGTGACAGCCCCGATGCTCCCAAATGGCCTTGATATCATTTGCAAGATTTTTCCACGTTACGTCTTGGATTTTCCATTGAATTTCGTCACAACTCGGCTGTTGTTGATTATATGATAATCCATCTTTTGAATCTTTTTGACAAATTGTTCCATGATTATTTATTTTATGCCACATCATTAGAACAGTGACAGTAATTGCACATGCATATATGCAAATGAAGTAATACCTTATATGTCTCAAATTCATATTCCACTCGTTAACTATCCTATGTTTGCAATAAGTTATATATCCTGCTCGTTGATTACTCAGATGTTTCAAGGCAATGTTACTTAAAGTGTGCGCCAAAGTTTAAAGGAATATTCCTTGCCAGACCCTTTCTCTCTTGATATGGTAGCTATAATCATACCTGTATATAGTTTCATATTTAGCAAAACATGGGAAAATGTTTTAATCAATATTGATCATTTAAAAATCTAGTGCTTATTTCCAGTGAGCTGCCATCTTTTAAGATTTCTTGCAGAAAGTGATGTCATCAACTCTCAACTTCTATAACCTTAAATAACCTTTATAACAGTAAAGGAAAGTAGCACAAAATCACTTCTAGACAAGTGATCATTACTTTCTGTGCAAAAATATTTTCAGGGCTTGTCAACTTAGAATAAAAGAAGAGATTTTCAGAAGGATTAAATAAGATACAAAGTTGAAAAAGAATATTTAGCTGGTTTTGTAATTCTTAATAGCTCCTCACCTAATGCTATATGCAAAGTTGAGAGTCGATGACATCACTTCCTGTGTGAAATTTTGAAAGATGGCAGCTTACTGGAATTGAGCATCACATTTCTAAGTGATCAAATTTGACCATATCAAAACATTTTTGCGTGTTTTGCTAAACATGGCAAGCACATATATGGTTATAGCTACCATATGAGGAGAGAGATGGTTTCGCAAGGAATATTCTTTTAAAACTGCGCAGGCGCACCGCTCTCGCTAAACTATATAAAGAGATTACCAGGTACACGATTCAGAGGTAAGCCAGGAAGGCGAACGATCTTCGTCTCGTGATGATTTACCATATAATCGTAACCAGGGAAGTTTCACCTTTGAAATTGAAAATTACTATTAGATATACTTTGTAGATGTTATTTATGAAGCTATTTAGTGTTTGCATCAATCAAATGGCTCATTTTGAACATATAAAAAGTATTTGTGTTTTGTTTCCCAGGGAATTGTATTGTATGTAGTACACACATAAATAGTGTACATTATACAGTACTTGAATAGCCTGGTTTACATAATATTGAAGGGCATGCTGATTACATGCACACGAGTAAAATAAAAAATAAACTCTTCTAATCTCCTAATGTAAACACGGCGGTATACGTAGCCCGATTTATCGGGGACTTTAAGAGTTGTTGGAAATTCTCCAACTTTGACAGGAGAAACAGGCTTGAATACTGTGTAGCGATACTATGATTTCATAATTTCAAAACTCCATAAAACATTATTCTATGTACAGCAGACTTGCCAACCTCCCGTTTTTTACGGGAATCTCCCGTCATTTTTTTGTTTTTCCGTAAAAAATACAAACTCCCGTACCGTTTTCTCCCGTAAAAACTCCCGTACCGTATTTCTACTAAAATCTCCCGTAATTTTTTCTAAAAATATGGCCGTAAAATCTCCCGTATTTTTGCTGAAATCTCCCGTAAAATCTCCCGTATTCTTATATAACTCCCGTAAAATCTCCCGTATTCTTGGTATAACTGCCGTAAAATCTCCCGTTTTCCGGTATAACTCCCGTAAAATCTCCCGTATTCTTGGTATAACTCCCGTAAAATCTCAGTTTTTTGCTGTCGAAATCTACCGTATTTATAAGGAATTTGACAAAGTGACCTTGATTATTTCAGGCACGCTTCTTTCTTTTACTCCAAGAAGGATTGGCTCCAATGGTTCACTATCGATACTTTCATAAATAACTTAAAAGTACTTCATTCCCATGATTCAAATTGCTTTTCTGCGATCAGTTCGGTATAAGTTTGCACACCAAATGTCCACAAACGGGGGCGAATTCACATTCAGTCATACTTCTGTCGGGAGAATACATTTTGTTTTTATATGGCGCTAAACAAAATATTAAAGGCGCATTATGGGTAGGGACTGCTGTGAAATAACGAACGTAAGTGACATCTACCTTAGATTATAAGTTCTAATTAATTTATTAACTGCGCATGCGTCAAAATAATTTCAACTAATTAAATCGCTGGATTTAATGCTCGTGCGCAAAAAAGCGAACCTAAAAATGGAACCTCACGCAGATTGCCCTTAGCATATAGTGAACGCCACATATACATTTTACTTAGCTTTGATCAATTCGTTTCTAAAGTAATAAAATGTTGTATCTATAATCTAAACAGATCATATTAATAATATAGACAGTTTGAAATATAAATCATCCCAGAGTTTGACATTTGAACTACATATTCAGTTAAAATAATTATATGAAATAAACAATTTCTGTGGTGGTTCGAAGTTGCATTATAATTTGAAGAGTTCTATGCGGATTTTCTGAGTCACCGATGGCGCTTCATTTACAAGGTAAGAAGCCGAAATCTACCATAAAAAACTCCCGTTTTTTTCAGAAATCTACTATAAAAACTCCCGTTTTTTCAGAAATCTACCATAAAAACTCACGTTTTTTCAAATTCTACCGTAAAAACTCCCGTTTTTTCAGAAATTTAACATAAAAACTCACGTTTTTTCAAAATCTACCGTAAAAACACCCGTTTTTTTCAGAAACCTACCGTAAGAACTCCCATTTTTCCGAAATCTACCGTAAAAACTCCCGTTCTTTCAAAATCTACCGTAAAAACTCCCGTTTTTTCAAAATCTAAAGCAAGAACTCCCGTTTTTTCAGAAATCTACTGTAAAAACTCCTGTTTTTTCAAAATCTACCGTAAAAACTCCCGTTTTTTTCAGAAATCTATCGTAAAAACTCCCATTTTTTCCGAAATCTACCGTTTAAAACTCCAGTTTTTTCAGAAATCTACCGTAAAAACTCCCGTTTTTCCGAAATCTACCGTAAAAACTCCCGTTTTTCAGAAATCTACCGTAAAAACTCCCGTTTCTTCAGAAATCTTTCGTAAAAACTCCCGTTTGTTTTATAAATCTACCGCAAAAACTCCCGTTTTTCAGAACCTACCGTAAAAACTCCCGTTTTTCAGAACCTACCGCAAAAACTCCCGTTTTTCCTGAAATCTTCCGTAAAAAGTCACATTTTTTAAAATTTACCGCGAAAAATACATTTTTTAAAAAATCTCCCGTAAAAACTCCCGTTTTTTCAAAATCTCCCGTAAAAACTCCAGTTTTTTCAAAATTTACCGCAAAAACTCCCTTTTTTAAATCTCCCGTAAAAACTACCTTTTTTCAAAAATCTCTTGTAAAAACTCCCGCTTTTTTTCAAAAACTCCCACATAAACTACCGGATTTTGAAAAAAACTCCCGTAAAAGTACCGCAATTTTTTTTAAATCTCCCGAAAATTTTTCATTTTAGGTTGGCAAGTCTGTACAGGGTGGTCCAAAATATGGGACACTCATATTTCAAAAGATGAATATTGATTTTGTTGATGAAAACATGTCATATTATATACCAGTGGATAGGTAATTTACTGATCTTTAATTTGGTATATCATAAATTCAAGTTTATTATAATGTCTATCAAGCAGCGTCCATAATATAAATGACGTCATTTTCATTTCAAAACGGGTTTTCCAAAACATGCAAAAACAAGTTTTATTGTCAACTTTATTTACATAAACAGACGTTCAATATGTCCATCATTTAAATCAATTGTACCCCTCAATTTTGGCCTAAATTGGCCAATAGTTACATTGATATGCTGTTATAGTCAAAACAGAAATGTTTGTGAGTACTTTGAATTTAAAAAATAAGCAATCAAATGACCATATTGAAACAGTTTATGTAAAAATAGAAACATATATATATATATATTTATCCTAACTTTTGTATATTACAGGTAGTAATGTATAATGTGCAGCAAAGCTGTGGCCTTTTGTAATTTAGGGAGTTTCAGCTATGTTAATTTTTCCGAAAATAACATGGCAGAGAAGTATCAAAATGTAAGAGGACACAGATATGATAGCTAAACTACAAAACAAATATATCTTCAGACATATCTTCGATTGCAGACAATGTAGGTATTCATGTCGTGAATTCAAATTGTCTAGATGAGGCTGTCAAATATTTTGTATCCTCCAAACATTAAAATATCATCTTTGGGAAAAAAATATATTTGAATTGTCTTTGTAAAACTTTATTAAGCCTGTGTTGGAGGATACAAAATGACTTTAAAATATGTGAACTATAAACGTACAATTAAAGTTATTTGTATTCATATTTTTATGTTTATATTTAAATTACAGCAAAGAATGAGTCATTACCAAACCAAGAAACAATATATTTCACTCTCAGTTTCACATGTGATCATGTTATAACCTTTTGGGGAATAGTGATGTATGTAATGTATGTGTGATGTATGTTGCATCCATTGCAATCTTTAATACTTCACATGCAATATGAGCAACATGCCCGTAGCAAGCTTTTAGTAATGGGGGAGGGGGTCGAACCCATCCCCTTGCCCACACATAAACGTTTTTCATGCTAAAGCAATACCATGGGCGACCCTGAAAATTCAGAGGGTGGGAGACGAAAACAAGGCATTAACATGACGAAATGTCACCACCTAGTTACTCACAATATAATTAGTTCAATCTTGAGTCAGATTTAAATTTCCGAGAACTTATAGATGATTTTAAAATTAAAAATTGGTCAATTTGAACCAAGTTTAAAAAATACCTTTTCTGACCCTGACAAGGGCATTGAAGGTGAAATCTCAAATCTAAAGTCAGATTTAAACTTCTGAGAACGTGTAGATAATTTTGAAAAAAAGAATTGATCAATTTGAAGCAAGTTGAAAAAATACC